GTTGAAGATGCTGTCTTTTTTCCATTGAATGGTTTTGGCTTCTTTGTAAAAAATCGAGTATTCATAGGTGTGTGGGTTTATTTTCTGAAGAAAGAAATTGACGAAGATCTCAGAAGATGGAAAGATCTCCCGTGCTCATGGATTGGTAGGATTAACATTGTGAAAATGGCCATCCTGCCAAAAAAAATCTACAGATTCAATGCAATTCCCATCAAAATACCAACTCAATTCTTCACAGACCTTGAAAAAAAGATTCTCAGCTTCATATGGAGAAACAAAAAACCCAGAATCTCCAAAACAATCCTGTACAACAACAGATCATCTGGAGGTATCTCTATCCCTGATCTCAAGTTGTACTACAGAGGAATAGTAATAAAAACTGCATGGTATTGGCATAAAAACAGATTTTTTAAAAAAAGTTGTTTACACCATTAGATTTTGTTCAAATGCAGAGATTCTGGCTCTGGGGGATTCAAATGGTACCACAGCATCATTAGCACACAAGGTCACACTGCTGCTATGATTGCAAAGTGAATAGTAACTCTAAATGTTTCAAGCTCTTTCACATTCTCCAGAGTCCCCTTAGAACGTAGGTTCTGGCTTTAGAGGGTCGTATTTCCTGACTGACCAAGGAGATGCCCTGGGCCATGAGGTATTAGGACTGGGTAGCAGTGCCATCAAGGTTGAAGACAGATGGAAACAGGAAACAGCAGGGATGCGCTGAGACAGGGGAAGGACAAAGGGCACAGGACACTGTTTTGTGATCTTGAAAACTGTCCTGCTGGTTTCCTTGAGAAGCCTAAGGGACCAGCTGTTATATAATAGACAGCAATAAGCACACCACAGTAAGTCACCCCAGTTATCTTACAGACTTCAAAGGCCTCCTGATATTTCAGCCCAGGGTCTTGACTATTCTCTGACACACAGAATGTAATCTGAGGAAGATCTGCTTGGTCTTTAGCTCATTCAGACAATAGGAAACCTGAAGATTTCACTATAAGCTGTCTACCAAACCACAGCTGACTTCTCTGTGCACGGTTTGGGTAAAGAAGACCAGGGCCCGACACTGCCTTTGCTGTCTACCTGCTCAGTACACAGGGCAGTTGGCCCAAGGAATCTCCTTTTTCATTCAGACACCACCAGCTACACCTAATACGAAATTTCCTTCTATGGCTGTCCTGGCAACAAGTAGATCCATCTGTTGTGTAATTCTAGCCCTTCTGTCATCTCCTCTGGGCCTCAGCCATCCTATCTGGTAATGGCCACCAGATAATCTTTATGTTTTTTCTAGTTACTAAGCCATTGGTCTTCTGGAGATGTTGTCCTGCCCAGTTGCCTCATCTCTTCAGTTAAAAAAGAGGGGGAAGGTTAGTCTACCAACATCGCTAGGCTGCTCTGATTGAAAGGCATCCCTCCACCCCCTACAGTGCCCATGTTCAGTAAAGAATATTCTCACATCTACTGATATCTGCTTATATTTTCTTCTAAACTCTCCTCCATCTTTCTCCATTTCACAGATTCATTGATTTTCTTACATGGATGTCAAATGCCCCCTTATACAGCCTTCTAGACCTTGCAAACCCTCTCATTAATTAGATTGTTTCTGAAGTTGTCTCTATCTCCCCTTCCACTCTCCTTTCCTTTTCCCTCCCCACCCCCTTCTCTGCCTCCTCCATCATCCATTTATTCTCCTCTTTCCCTCCTCCTTTATATCCTCCTCCCCTCTCCTTCCTCTCCCTCCTTATGGACTCCCATCTTAACAGCGCTGCATGTGGTTGAAACTCTGACCACTTTGTCTCTGATGGTGCTCTTTCTCACCTGCCATAATTGTGGCTGGCCACTCTTCTCTGGTTGCTGTAGCACTCTTGAGTGTCTCCTCCACTTTAGGAATTTTGCTGTTGCTTCTGTACCTCTTGTCTCTCCTTAAACTTTGTTTGTCTCTCAGTATACATATGTATATTAAATCAAGAAGCCACTTGTTGCCAGGATTTTAAAAGATCCTCATTCAACTTCCGCAAAAAACTCCTTATCTCATATCCTAAGTGTTGGTTCAAGAATCATACTTTTTTTTTTAATCTCTTGTCTCCATAGCCAGTCTTTCACATCTTCCTCTGAAGTTACTGCAGACTCTCTCACTATCTTGAGACTTTGTTCTTGCCAGTTTGGTGACTGAGCTATGGAGCTTTTCAACTGGGTTCTGATACATAGCAAAGATTCTGAGCAACATGGACTCATAGGGTACCCCTGGGTACTCCAGCAAGACCTGACTCACCAGACGTACATAGAAATATTTGCTTACAGATACGTTCCTTGCTAAAATTCCCTTGTTTGTCAGAACATGAAGAGACTAAGCAGCCCAGATTCAGATTCCATACTATATGTTGGGCAATTTTTCTCATTTGACAAGTAAAGAAGGTACAGTTGTCTTCCTCTTTTTCATTCTTTCCATGAGCCAATCTGCTTGATCCTCAGTATAATCGGGAGTATTTTAGAAAGCGACCAATCTGACCATTCTTTCTTCCTTGGAAGGCTCAGTTTAAGAAGCTACCCTCCAGGCTGGGTAGGGAGAGATGGTGCATCCAGAGTCATGGACTGGAGATGGTTCTTCCTACCTGCTGATTTCTTATAAGAGAAACACCACTAGGGCCTTCCTCACTTTTCTGTACTCTCTGCAGTGGTGGGATCCGGCAGCACACTGAAGCCACTGAAGCCACTATTTGTCCAACACTGGTGAGATGCTCTGAGGAGACCAGGTGGAGGCAGATTGGAGAAAGTCCAGATGCAGGCAAGCAGTGCAGTTTCATCCAAGTTTCAGAAAAGCGGATGTTTTGCTTGGGCTCCTAGTAGCCACATCTCTCATCCTTTGACCCTTATCTGGCCACTCTATTCCTGGTTGAAGATGCACTGTGAGCCCATGAAGATGCAGAAAGTCTGGGGCTGGCTGTTCTTGGCAGCCCTGTTCCTCACTGTGAACTGCGTACGGCTCTTCATTTGCCCACATATTTTTTTTCCATTTCAGGTTCCTCTTGTTCTCAGTTCTCAGACTCATTTTCTTTCTACTTGCTTGTCTTCATTGTTTACTACACCCATTTGAGATACACAAATATCATCCTTCTTTACAGACTAGAGTCCTGACTGAGCATGCACTGGGCCTCTGCTTCATCCTACAACCCCAGACTCCCAAGTAGGGAGGCAGGGGCAGATGCACATTGTTGGAGTTTTTGCTCCCAGTGATTTTTATGCCAGGATTTCAAGACAGTCATCCTAAAAAGAACGTTCCTTACTGCAGGCCCCAGGCTGAATGCTCCTTCTGCTTGGCCAGGCTCACCCCTTAAGCACTGAAGTGTCAAGAAGCTTAAAGGTTATTTGTTTTCTTTGATCTTGAAGTCTTTTAACTTATCCTATGTGGGATTTCTTTCTTTTTTATTTTTTAAGCTTTATTTTATGTGCATTAATGTGAAGGTGTCATATCCCTTGGAACTGGAGTTACAGGCAGTTGTGAATTGCCATGTGGGTAGTGGGAATTGAATCCAGGTCCTCTGCAAGAGCAGACGGTGCTTAGGATTTCTTTGACATGCCTTTTATGCCACTTTTATTACTTTGACAGGTCAATATTTTGAAAGCCAAATTAATTTTCTGTGCCTGATAACTAAGCTTTGAGGCATTAAAATACAGTAGGTCTCTCTGTGTACCCCAAGCTGGCCTTGAACTCACTAGCCTGCCAAGTTCTGGGATAAGAGGCATAAATTATCATTCCCAGCAATGCAATATTTGTAAGTGTCAGCTGGTACTTCATCCCAGTTTTCACTTGCTTCATACATTTCTAGAGGAAAAGAGAATATTTAATCTGGACCTGCTTCCTAAAAGAATCTTCTCAGCAGAGGCTTCAGCAATCGACAATGCAGTTTGTCAAGAACCCAGTTAGGTGCTGGAGTCAGCATTCCAGTCTGTGAGCACACTTACCTAAGCAGTGGAGTGTTTGTCTTTACTTCATCGTTTGAGTTGGTGCATTTACTTATTTTTGTCCCCAGATTCCAGCATCTGGGCAAGTTGCAACGTGCACTGTCAGACCTGTCCCCGTGGCCAGCTCTGAAGAGATTGCCCCTGCTGGACACTGTTCTCAGGAACACGGTGGCCTGGGATTTGCATTTTGTTCAAGGTGAAGCAGCTCTGCTTTTCTTTGTCACCCACTGACCATGAGCAAATAAAACAGTTATTGGAAAGTGTTCCTGTTGCATACCCAATGTGACTGTCGAGTTTTGAGCTGAGTTTTTGTTGGTGTCGTATACATGTATACACGTATGTATTGTGACAGCTTCTGAGGATGTTTCACATACAACATGCATGTTGCTGTCACAATGAAGGTCACACACACACTACTATTTAGCAGAGCCTGCCATGTGGTCTGAGACAAGCCATTTCATGGGATGGTTTAACTTTCTCACTGACACCAATCCCATGGTTATCAGGCTGGAGATTCCCCCAGGACCCTGTGCATAAGAGCATTGATACCTCTGCTTGTCCGCCCTCTGCACTGTTCAGAGCCTGCATGGGACTGAGATCTCTCTCTAAGAGTGCAGAATGCCCTTCTTTGAACTTCTATCGACTGGAAGGTATTTCTTCTGCTTTAGTTCAAAGAAGGCAGCTTCACACTTTGCCTTCATGCGCCAAATTCTTTTTACCTTCCTGAAGAATAAAGAGGAAAAAAGTGAGACAGGGCATTGCTTTGGAAGCAAAGTGCTCTCATAACAAAGCACCCATATTATTGACTTCTCAAAAAGGATAAAACAATATTCTACCACATTCCTGTTTTCCTTTCTGATAAGATAGTGAAGCATTCAATAACAGGTCGGGTTTACTTAAATTCATATTTTTGAAATTCACTTTACTGTTTTATGGTTATGAATAAAAGCCAAGATGAGAGGAACCTAATCCAAATGGAACGTGAAGCATATTTCTGTCTTGTAGAAGTCCTCAGTTACCTGAAGACATCAGCAAGGGATTTTATACCTGATGGATCTGATGGATGGAGACTGGAAATGGATATGTTCTTTTGGGGGCTAAAGCAGGTAATGATTATACAAAAACCATTTTTACAAAACATTAAAAAACCCAAGAAATATTCAGCTTTGCCTGTTGTGAATTTTGCTGGCCAAATGAGGAGAACGAGCAGGTTTTCGAAGAACTTTGGGCTTCATGTTAACATGGCTGTTTCTATTTGTCGTTCTTGAGTCCATGGAGAGCACTATTGAGTATTCCTAAATGTTCCCTCTCTCCATCCTCATTACCTTTTCAGCTGTTGACAAAGAATGCTTCCGCCACTTGCCTGAATGGACATTTGTCTCAGGAGGCTCCGCTCCCCACTGGGGACTCCAGCATCTGGAGGAGTCTCTGGGGAATGCTATGCCACACCACCGCCTTCAATGAGACCAGTGTTTTAAATGAGCTGCTTCATGCAGTGAAAGATGCTGTAAGTATCCACCATAATATCTCTTGAACAGTACCAACAGGGCTCCTGTTAAAGGGTAAGTCACCTAACATGCTAATACTGATCCTAGAGTTTAGACCATGTAAGTGTTGGCATCACTGAAAGGGTACCACTGAATGGTGGCTACTCATCAGTTCTATCCTTCCTGACTACTTGGGTGTGGTGATGCACACTCCCTGCCACAACCTACCTGGCGATTTCTGAGAGTACCACAAACTTTCAAAAACAGCACACCTGTCTCTCAGGTTTCCTGTTCTCTTGTTTGCTCTGCTCTGCCTCTCTTCGTTGCCTGGAAGGAATGTGCAGAGCGAACTTTGGTGAACTGTTAATGTACAGCCGCTTGTAGCCATGGCTTTTAGTGATGAGAGGAGTTGAAAGTGACTCTCTTCCCCTGTCACTGCCTGAGACCCAGGCAACCACGCTCGCTAAACATTCACAGAGACAATGGAATGTTTAGAAGGTGATTACATCAACTTTAGCGCTTATTTTTTTTACTGAGAACTAAAATGTGTAATGCTCTTATGTTTATCAATTTGCGCATCTCACGAGTACCTGTCTCTTAAAAAATTATACCTTATAGGCATTAGAATATATAATTAGCAAAATAATAAAATAGAAATGATGTCTGAGCAAAATGAAAATGGAAATGAGAGTGTGCACACAGTCAAGCCCTTCATTGTCTTCTTGGCATTTATAGACCAGGCCAGAGGGTGTACAAACAAGAGGCTCTTCTCTGGCTTGAGCAGGATGGATAACATGAGTGCGAGTGTGTAACGGTCCAGCATCTGGAAGTGTCCCCGAGAAGTTGATGGGTTTGAAATGTGGAGGAGGATGTGGGAGCTAAGAAAAGCCAGAGAGGATGTTAGTTGGAGAGAAAGGCACAGGAGGAGCTGAGGCTGACTCAGTGGGATCTGCAGGCAAACATTTCTTCAGCTGCATGAGAAAGCCTTTCAGAGAGGTTAGATGACTAGTCTTGACCGATCTTCCCAAGCTCAGAGGTTAAAAACAAAATGTACCCTAAGATCTCCTGTGACTCTGGAGGCGGGGTGGGGCTCAGTCAGATGGAGTTCTCTTAAGCTTACGTGTGTTCCTTAGACAGCTGTGATTTTGTGATCACGGTGGCTGGCTGTAGTTTGGATGCTTGGCTAGACACTGAAGTCCTGGGGCTTATCTTTTCTCTCTAATAATGCCATGTGGGGCTTCCCTGATACTCAAGGGTTCCAAAAAAAAAAAAAAATAGGCAAGAAGGGAAGTTTTCAAAGATTATGACAACTGCTGAGACTGAAATTTGTACAAGTCACTCTGCTGCATTTATGGACTAAAGTGAATCTGAATCCAGCCTTGAGGGACTGTGTGTGTGTGTGTGTGGGGGGGGTTTGCCATGAGGGTGTTTTTCAGGTCTGGTTCTCTGAGGATGTTGTTAAATGTTTCTTCATCACATTTGGGGAGTCCACCCAACACACTTGACTATGACACTAGAGTATCTCTTAGGTGATTAATAAAGTCACCTATTCAGTAAGGGGGTTGTAACTTTGAACATGAGGAAAAGTTCATGTCTAGAACTGTACCTCAAGATTATGGAAACCTTGGTAACTGAACACAGATAGGGAGGCTATGTCTCAAATGCCCATCTGAAATGGGTTAACTTTTGACAGATGATGTTTTCTCTTTCTTTTAAGGGTCACCGTTTGCAAGAGGTCATTGCAGGACAAACAGATGGACCAGTGGCAGAACATGGTGGGCACTTGGGCTGGCAGGATCTTGGGACACAGATATCAGACGTGAGCTTTGCCTGTTCTCAGGTCTTCCAGCTGCCAGGAGCTGATGCCTCACCTGAGAAAGGTATCTCTGATGATGGCTGCGAGCGCCAGCTTGTTTCCACAGTGTAAGTATGTGATGTATGAAAACCTTTTCAGGGCTTGGATGCAGGATTTCAGGTGCTACTCAATGATGGCTCACCATCATACATGCCATTCTTAAAGAATAGACTACAATGATACTTTAAGGAGATTACCTGGTTGCTATATAAGAAAACTTGTAAAACCCAAAACACACTAGACATTTTCTCTGTTTAACCATTGACTTCACGTTTCATGAAAAACTCAAAGATTGTGTGTAACCAAGACTGATTTTTCCATATGGGTGGCTGCTCAAGTGAGCTATACCTTATTTCTATTTCATGACCCCTTACACCAGTATCCAATTTCTGTGGCTGCTAATAAACCCATATACTTGATATATCAAATATATCAAAGGGGATGTATTTTTACTTAGTCTCAGTATCTACTTTGTATTGTTGTGTTTATTTTCTCCTTGTTTTTTGCTTGATTTACTCTTGATTTTCTGTTTTTCATGTACTGTCAATTTTCTTTTACTTATTTTCCAAATCAGATTAGAATAATTTATAAATGAATAAATAGTAAGTCAACTACTTACAAGATTCTAATTGCTTTTTCAGGTGGACTGTCAGATATTTGCATGCATTACCTTTAGATGGTTTTGTAAGTATGTGTCATGTTAAAGTTCTAGTTTTTTGGAATCTTTTGATTTCAGGGTATCACACATACTTGAAGAGGTACAAATATCCCTGCAGCGAATGTCCTACTGGAAAATCTTCTCAGAGATCATCAGGAAGACTTGTGAATTGGTTCAATATGTGAACGAGCATGGAAGTTTCCAGAACGGTCTGCTGTGTAAGTCAGGAGGTCTTAATGGCCGGAATGTGTGGTCTTTTCCCCACTTAGGAGATAGAGTTGCAGTACGAAGGGCTGTTATGCATCACGAAGGGAAGCCTAAAGTGGAATTCCCTCCAAATACTGCTAGCTATTATGGTTACTGTATTCAGTGTGTCATTACGGCTGTGATCAGAATCTCCACAGTCCTGTTTTGTCTGGGCCAGACTCTCCCAGCACCATCCACAGGTATCTTATTCACTCTCAAAATTGTGCTTGTTTAGATGAAAATGTTTATTTAATTTTTAAAATTTTATTTGTTCACCGAGAGTTTTGAAGGTGTTTTAATCATAATCATATTCATTCCTTCTCCAGTGCTTCTTATATTCACTCCCTTCTCTCCTCACCCAAGCTTTTGTCCTTTTGTAATTTCTTTAAAAAACCCTTCAAGACAAGTTTGTACTGCCTATATATACTCTTGAGTGTGTGATCTTTCACTGGAGCATGACTGACATACCTGGAGCTCTTAGAGAAAACTGTCTCTACCTCTCTCAGCAGCTAACTCTTGCCAATAGCCCTAGACGTATGAGTGTGTGCTTTGCTCTCCATCTCCACATGAGCATTTGGGCTGGCTTGAACTTGCTCAGGTCTTGTGTGTGCCACCACAATTGCCATGACTTCATATGTGCAGCTGCCCTGCTGTGTCCAGAAGACACAGTTTCCTTGAGGTCATCCACCACCTTCGGCCCTTATGCTCTTCCTACCCCTTCTGAAATGATACCTGAGTCTTGGGATGGGTTTGTGTGGTGTAAATATTCTTTTTATGGCTGAGCATTTGCTGTGTCTTATTCTCTGCCCTTTGTCTATTTGTGGGTCTCTGTTTTAACGCCTACTGCAAATAGAAGTTTTAAAAGTAAGGATTGGGAGATGCATTTATCTATGGTATAATGAGAAGTTGTTAGGAGTCAGTTTAATACTATACAAATTTAGCAGAATAATTGTGCTAGGTTCTCCCTTTGGGCCTACGACTTGTCTATAGAGCCTACGACTTGGGCCTAACAATGGTGCTGAGTATGGGTTTCATCTTGTGGAGCAGAACTTCAACCCAATCAGAAAATGAAATGACTAGTTACTCCCATGGTGTTCATGCCAGCACTGTACCAGCAGGCATGCCTTGCCCAATCAGTCATTACAGCTCACAAGGTTCACAGCGCACAATGCCAGTTTCTAATTCCTTCTCTGCTTTTCTTTCTTTCCATCTCTAAATCGCTGCCTTTACAGACTGGCCAAGACTCTTCCTCTCTGGATCGTTTTTGTAAGCCTGCACCCCACAAGACAAATAGATCTTGCAATTCTTTCAGGAATACTCTGAGAGCTCTGAATTTCAGAGTGTCGGGTAGGCAGCATCCTCCTGGACTGCATGGTCATCCCACATATTAACCATTTTCCTTCACCACCTCATCCTCCTCACCTATTTTTGCCTGTAATCCTATTTTTGTATTTTCTGCTAGCACACTCTTGGATTAAGACTTAAAATCTTTTAAATGTATGTTTCTCTTCTCGTGGATAATGTCGAGATTCCTTTCTTAGTTCTAGTATTCTGACATCTTATGAAGACTTCAGTAAACATGAACTTAAAAACCTGCATCACGCTGTATACTCAGTAGATTTTTGGTAATTTGGAAAATATTCCTTGTGTTTTACTCTTCTGTCATATATTACATCACAGTTGCAGTTTCTTCTTTTTCCCCTCCCCCAAGTCTTTCCCCTCCGCTGGCCCTCTTCCCTGGGTTTCCTCCCTCCCCTTCTCTCAGAAATAAACAGGCTTTCCATGACATCAAGCAAACATGGTATAACAAGCCAGGCACATACCATCACATCAAGGCTGGACAAGGAAACCCATAGGGGAAAAGAGTTGCACAAGCAGATGAAAGAGTCAGGAATAGCCCCCACTCCACATTTCCGATTTCCACAAGAACACCAAGCTACTCAGCCATAACATGTATGTGGAGGACCTACAGGTTCCCTGATCCCTCAGGCTGATTCTGTAGGCCCTGTTCTCATGGTGTGTTCCTGACCACTCTGGTTCCTCCAATCCTTTCTCCCCTTCCTTAGCAGGACTCCATGAGCTCCACCCAATCTTTGGCTGTGGTACTCCTCACCTGCTCTCATCAGTTGATGGATGCAGTCTCTCTGGTCCCTTTGATGACAATTCTGCTAAGCTCCAGTCCCAGCACCCTCTACAGGCAGGGCAAACTGTAGATCAAAGGTTTTATGGCTTGTTTGGTGTCCTAATAATTCCACTTGAGGCCTTGCTTGGCTACGGAAGATGTTCAGTTCAGGCCCTGTGTCTCCCATTACTAGAAGTCTCTGCTAGGGTTACTCTCTTAGGTTCCACTGAGCTTCCATTGTACCACGTTTCCACCTGCGCCTGAAATGACCCCAATTCTAGTAATTTCTTTCAGGATTTTCTCTCTCCCTATCCCCAACCTGATTCTTCCTATTCTCAATCCTAGCCAACCCCCAGTTCACCTGTGAAATCTATTCTATTTACATTTCCTGGGGAGATCCTTGCCTCCCATCTTAAGCCCTTCTTGTTGCTTACCTTCCCTGGGTCATTGGACTGTAACATTATTGTTTTGTACTTTACAGCTATTATCCACTTATTTTTTTAATTTATTTTTTATTGTTTTAAATTATACTTTATTTACTTTGTATTCCACTCTAGTTTCCTCCCTCCTCCCCTCCCAACCCCTCCTTTCCTCTCTCTTCACACACTCCCTTCCCCAAGTCCACTGGTAGGGGAGGGTTTCTTTTTCTTCCTTCTGATCCTAGTCTGTTAGGTCTCATCAAGAGTGGCTGCATATTATCCACGTATAAGTGAGCACATACCACATTTGTCTTTCTGGGTCTGGGTTACCTCACTCAGGATGATCTTTTCTAGTTTCATCTATTTTGCCTGCAAATTTCATGATGTCTTTTTTTTTTTTTATCAGCTGAGTAATATTCCATTGTATAAATGTATCACTTTTTTTTTATTAATTACACTTTATTCACTTTGTATCCCCCTGTGGTTCTCTCCCTCCTCCTGTCCCAATCCCTCCCTTCCTCCACCCTCTGCATGCATGCCCCTCCCCAAGTCCACTGATAGGGGAGGACTTCTTTTCCTTCCTTCTGATCCTAGTCAATTAGGTCTCATCAGGAGGGGCTGCTGTGGCCTGGTAATGCTGCTTCCCCCTCAGAGGGAGGTAATTAAAGAGCAGGCCAATCAGTTCATGTCAGAGACAGTCCCTGTTCCTATTACAATGGAACCCACTTGGATACTGAACTGCCATGGGCTACATCTGTGCAGGGTTATCTCTTAGGTTATCTCCATGCATAGTCCTTAGTTGTAGTATCAGTCTCAGTAAAGACTCCTGTGTGCAGATTTTTTGGTTCTGTTGCTCTCCTTGTAGAGTTCCTGTCCTCTCCAGATCTTACTGTTTCCCACTTCTTTCCTAAGATTCCCTTCACTCTGCCCAAAGGTTGCCCATAAGTCTCCCTCTCTCATCTCCTCCCTGACCCTTTCCAAGTCCACTGATAGGGGAGGTCCTCCTCCCCTTCCATCTGACCCTAGCTTATCAGATATCTTCAGGATTGACTGCAATGTCCTCTTCTGTGGCCTAGCAAGGCTGCTCCTTCCTTAGGGGGAGGGGAGGTCAAAGAGCCAGCCATTGAGTTCATGTCAGAAATAGTCCTTGTTCTTCTTATTAGGGTACCCACTTGGATACTGAGCTATCATGGGCTACATCCAAGCAGGGGTTCTAGGTTATATCCATACATAGTCCATGGTTGGAGAAACAGTCTCATAAAAGACCCCTGTGCCCTGATATATTTGGTCCTTGTGCAGCTTCTGTCCTCTCCAGGTCATACTAACTCCCTCATCTTTCATATGATTCCCTGCACTCTGTCGAAGGTTTGGTTGTGAGTTTCCGCATCTGCTTTGATACACTGTTAGTTAGAGTCTTTCAGAGGCCCTCTGTGGTAGGCTCCTGTCCTGTTACTTGTTTTCTGCTACTTCCAATGTCCATCCCATTTGTCTTTCTAAGTGAGGACTGATCATCTTACCCCTGGTCCTCTTTCTTGTTTATTTTCTTTAGGTGTATAGATTTTCATATGTTTATTCTATCTTTTAAGTCTAGTACCCACTTATAAGTGAATATATACCATGTGTGTCTTTCTGCTCCTGGGATACCTCACTCAGGATGATCTGATTTTCTTGATGAACCAGCTCTTAGTTTTGTTGATTCTTTGTGTTGTTCTCTTTATTCCTATTTTAGTGATTTCAAGCCCTAAGCTTAAATATTTCTTGCCATCTGGTCCTCTTGGGTGCATTTGCTTTTTTCTGTTCTAGAGCTTTCAGGTGTGCTGTTAAGTTGCTAGTATGAGATCTGTCCATCTTTCTTTATTTATCTTTTAAATGAAGGCACTTAGTGCTATGAGCTTTCCTTTTAGCACCGCTTTCATTGTGTTTCATTGTGTTCTGGAAGTTTGGCTATGTTGTGCCCTGAAGTTAATGTGTAGTTTAAGCTTTAATAATGTTTCTATAATAATGTTTAATAATGTTGCATTTGGGGCATAAATGTTAAGAATTGAAATGCCATCTTGGTGGATTTTTCCTTTGATGATTATGAAATGATCTTCTCCATCTTTTTTGATTAAATTTTGAAGTCTATTTTGTTAAAAATTAGAATAGCTGCACCAGCTTGCTTCTTTTTTCTATTATCTGAAGATTTATTTTTCTTAAGTAAAATAAAGTTTGAATAATACAGTCTGTGGTCTAGTGACATACCAGCTTGCCTTTTGAATCTATTTGCTTGGAAAAAAATTTTCCCATCCTTTAGTATGAGATAATGCGTATCTTTGATGCTGAGGTGTGTTTTTTGTGGGCAGCAGAAGGATGGATCCTGTTTTCATATCCATTTTGTTAGCGTGTGTCTTTCTTTTTTTTTTTTTTTGGGTAAAGAGAATTGTATTTTCTG